CCCCCCCCCCCCAGCCCTCCAGCGGAGCTCAGGACCGCGTTACCCCGGCTGGTGCAGGGGAGGAAGGTATTCATGGCCTGGCACTCCTATCTAAGTTGATGTTTTTGCCTTCTCTCTAATAATTAGAAGGTGCAACATTATATGTCAAGAGCTCATTAAGCATTTCCAACATGGGGGAGGTCATATCTCTTCTAACTCCCACTCTGGTGGCTTTCCAGGACCATTACCACCTGGGATGGAGGATGCTCGGGTTCCCAGACCCAGCATCCCCCTGCAGACGAGAGCTCCATGTTTTCTGCATTCAGGCCTTTGTACCGAGGCATTTGCATCCCCAGATCATGGAAAAGATCTGGTCTTTCCCCTGCTCTGCAGTCTGTTTCCTACCTGGCAATCTAGCAGGATTTTTTTTATTATTTTTTTTCCGAACCTTTGACAACAGTTTGGTACAACATCAGCTTGAAAACATCACCAAGCCCAAATACGCTCCCAGAGCAGGCCTGGGAGTCTCATTCACATTGCAGATAAGTCATCGGCAGACACGCTGATAAAGATTTCAAGTGTGACTCTGCATACAAATGATCCAGACCCAACAATGAATCCCGCACAGGCGACTAAGGAGGTACCTGGGTTTTTCCCCTAACCCCACCTGTTTTCCCCAGCCCGGCTGCTATAGGTAGCACTTGGAAACCAGAAAGGAATGACCATGCTCTATTAAACCGACCCTAAAAAGTGGTACAAAGAGCCCTGAATTCAGCAGAGGAGCCTTTCCTCCTCGGCTCACCTCATGTCTGGGAGCTTGCCGTGAGTCACGAAGCTCCGGGCACATTTTGGGAGCCAGCTAGAAGGTGATCGAGTTGCTCCTGCTTTGAGCTGGAAGCTGGACCCTATTTCAACCTAAATTATACATGGCCCCTCTCCCCCCACCCTCCTGCTGGTTTTCAGCCAGATCAGGTCCCTGCTCTGAATCCCTGAGCAGTTCCATCATGGCTACAGGCAGCCCGGGCAGTGAAGGTTTCTTGAGGCTTGTAGGGATTATCTGGGCACCCAGATCTGCCGCTTTCTAGCAGAGCCTCAGGCAGGGCAAACCCTCCCCAAGCATCAGCTGCAGCCAGCGATTTGACTGCTTTTCCACTCAAAACCTCTTTTGGGAACAGAAATAGCTGGGAATCCTCCCAGCATAGGCCAACCCTCGGATGGTTCCTCCTGGCTATAAGTCAGACAGAGGATACGGGCAAAGAGCATCTCAGGAGCTCTTCTGCTAAGGCTATTATCCTGCTTATTAAAGAAGCTCGGGAGAAATGGGGTAAATAACCCAGTGCCTCCTAAGTGGCAGCTATCAGCCTGTGAGCCCCACACCGTGACCCACAAGTGCAGTCCCACCATGGTGCAACCACCCCACCCCAGCGAACGCACCGCTCCGGGTGAGCCTGCGTGGCCTCGCCGGCTGGTTTGGGAAGGCCGTGCACCCACAGCCCCCTCAGAGTTAGCCGAGGGACAATCCAGCCGGGATCCACCTCATTTTGAACACCATCCATGAGGTTTGGGCAAGCCCAGAGGCTTGGCTTTCCAGGATGCTGCCCACTCCCACTTGGGGGTCCAGATAGCACCGACGGCTGCCTGCACCAGCAGACGCCCATCGCCACACTTGCCTGCCTCCAGCAGCCTTCCTAAAACACCCCCTTGAGCACCTACTACCACAAAAAGTCTTGTCCTACTTCTCCCATCAAACCACAGGCATTGAGGCAGGACCCATGAGACGCCACGTCGGGACGGGGACCACCTTACCTGGACGCCGCGATCTCCGCTTTCTGCTTGGCGATGGTGGCCGCTCGCTCGGCCGCCTCGACGGCCCGATCCACCTTCTCGCGGATCTTGCTGGCCCGCAGCGGGATGAGGTTCTTCCTCTTGCCACTGACCAGGATGTTCTGCTTGTACTTGCCCTCCTCCTTGGTGCCGTCGGGGAAGGTCATGCAGCCGTAGCCATGGCGCTTGTTGTTGGCCCATTCCCCCTCGTACTTCAGCCCGTCCGAGCGCTGGCTCACCCCAAAGCCCGACCGCTTGTCGTTCTTCCACTCGCCGACGTAGATCTCGGTGGTGGTGGCGTCGATGTCGTCTTCGATGACGGAGAGCTCGGCTTCGCCCTCGCCCAGGCTGATGGTGGAGTTGATGTCGCTGGCGGTGGAGCTGACGGTGCTCATCCCGGCTTCGCTCCGGAAAGAGCTCTGCTTGCTCCGCTGGCTGGCCAAGGAGCTCTTAGACTCAGACTTACGGAGCTTGAGCCCGCTCAGCAGCGACCGCCGGAAGATTCCCTTCTTCTTGCTCTTGAGGATCTCGGCGTCGCTGTGGGCCATGAGGACGAAGCCACCTCGGGAGACGGCGGGGCTGCCGGCCACCGCCGGCGAGGAGTCGGGGTGCAGCGCCGTGCCGTTGGTGTGCTCGCTGCGCAGGGAGTTGATGGACGTCCTCAGGGGTGACCTGATAACCGCAGCCATGCCGTAGGGAACGCTCTGCCGGACGCCGTAACCCTGGCGCATCCCTCCGACCCACTGGCCCTGGTATGTCCCTGGGAAGAGGAGACAAAAGCAAAGAGGGGTTTCATGGCATGGCATCCCGTGGACCACTGACAGCATCAAACTCAGAATGACAGAATCATCCGGGTTGGGAAAGCCCCTGCAGCTCCTCCAGCCCAACCATGAACCTCACCCTGACCGTTCCCAACCCCACCAGATCCCTCAGCGCTGGGTCAACTCCTTTGCAAGCCCTTCACTAGCAGGAACCACAAAATGCAGCTCTGGATCCCAGTCCCATCTCCACGACAAACATTGTAATGTCATGTTGTGGGGGGAAAAAAACTAGCATCTTGGTCGGATCGCAGGCATGCACTCCAGCTGCAGCGTGGAAATACCAGAAACCAGCCATGGCACCAGCGCGCAGGGAGCGATGCTTCGAGGAACTGCCCCTTAGAACAGCCCCTAATTTGAAAGGGAAGGGAGAAGGGAGACGGGGTAGGGGAATTGTTATCCGGGAGCAGACTTTGATCCCATCCATGCTGCCGGCAGTGACCAAAGCGGATGGTATATTACAATGCATTTATTTATATACGTAGTGCCTTTCATCCGGCGCGTAGCGGAAGGGAGAGGCTCTGTCGAAATAAAGGCCTCAGGAGCAGAGATCCATTTGGTTATTCTCCTTGGAAATATGCCCCTGTTTGAACTCCTACATTTGCGTGGGCACTTACTGGAGTTGATTAACTGGTTGTTAATGGGATGAAACGCACACGGGACCTTGCTGTGACACTGGAAATGGAGGCACAAGAAACCCATCCAGCCCGGGAAGCACAACCAGAGTATAACGCCTGCCCTGTGCACCGAGAGGGTAATCTGCTCGGGGTTTATAACCCCTTCCCCTCCTGGAGCCTGGCGATTGGCACGCTTTCACGTTTTATCCCAGGTGGTTGAACTGTGGGGCTTGTTTTTATTCATAGGTTAGCTTAATCTCTTCTGGACTAGCTCGAGATGCAGTGATTCACCGCCCGCCTAAGCCCTCGTGGGGTGGATTGATGAACCTGAGGACGGCTCCTCGCCTGGCACTGGTGCTGCTGGGATGCTGTGGCTGGCCCTGGCCCCGGGCTGCCCTGCTGCCCCCACCCCGGGCTGGCGATGCCAAGAGCAGGGCCCCGTGCTGGGACGGGCACAGGCAGCACCTTGCAGCATCGGGGCCTCCTTTTGTGCCAGCCCGGCTCCCGCACGCCAAGGGAGTCTTAAAATAGACTTGCTGAAACAGTGAACCCTCTGAGAATCAAACTGAAACAGCCCCAACGAAAACAGCCCGGATGATTACCACCGGCTCAGCCTGATAAAGACTTTCCATCCCCTCCCTGCACAAGATGCTCTTTGCAATCAGGTCGTGATTCGTAGACACGAGCAACCTGTTGGGTCCACCTGAGCCGGCTCTTTTGGCTGCAAAAATATTGTTCCCTGAGACATATCTGCCCTGATGCAGTGTTTTCCTTCTCAACGTTTTCCAATGCCCCAACGGAAAGGATTATTAAAAGAGGCTGTGCTGGCCATCCCCAGCCCAGATAAACCCAACCCTCGCTCCAGGGAGTGATCCCAACCCTACAGCGACACATCCTTCTGCTCTGTTTCATTCCTCACGCGGATCCTACCCCCGGGACTCCCTTAGGGGTTTCCACCACCCCGTCCCCGGGGCTCAGTGGTAGCTCTAGAGACAGGTACAGGTTGGAGAGGCTCATGCTGAGCACAGCAACTGCTTCCCGAGAGCATGAAACCAGCATCTGGGCACATTTAGGGGTGCATGAGCTGTCTCATCTAATAGCCAAGGGCTCTTTGCACAAACCTCCTGGGGCTTGGGCATCCTTCCCGGTGCTCGGATGCAAGCAACCCCCCAAAGTGCTATATTACGTGGGTGATAGCATTGTGCACCCCCAAAAAATGCCAGCCCCAAGCTAGGGCACCCCACAAAGTCTGCCTCAGAGAAGGGACAAGGAGAGGCAGGGCCAGGCGGGCAGGATTTACTGAGGGTTTATAGGATTAGCACTGGGGAGGGAAGCAGAGCACCGGGATTATGTCAGGACAAGGTGAGGAGGTGGTAACAGTGCCGGCGGGGAGAAGGACGGGGGACAACCAGCAGGAGAGGCGGTAAACAGCTCAGGAGAAACATCAGACATGTCCTGTGGCTGGGTGTGAGCTGTGAGCCGGGCTTGACCCACTGCAGCCCACTTCGGTGTCCCCAAGAACCGGCAACAAACTGATGCCGTGTGACCGCGGCTCTCCCCGTGCCCAGTGGCACCCTGGAACTGTGCCTGGGGCAGGGCAGAGCCCACCACGTCACCCGTCCATCCCCTGCAGACTTGGCACCGTCTCGCTTCCCTTTCTGGCTCCTTCTCAGGAGGAACCTACTGGGGGTGATGGGCAGAGGCTGGGGGAGAGAGATTTCCCCCAACACCCCGAGCACCCCCACAAAGGGAGCCCCCAAGATGCCTTGGGATGTCCTCGCACCGTGCTCAGCTTCCTGTCTCCTACAGAGATGGATTCAGTGGGTTTCAGGGAAAGATGTCACTATGGGGACAGGGAGAAAAGATCCTGCCCGAGCTCCGTCAGAGCCTGCCCCGCCCCAGTCCTTGACTCCCTCTCCCTTGGCTGAATCCCTTGGCTCAGTCCCTGGCCTCACGCAGGTCCCTTGACTAAAAAAAAAAAAAAAGGCGGATTAAACCAAAGCACTATAAAGCAAGCACGGCCCTTTGCTGAAAACCAGAGGCAAGGAGCAGAACAAAGCGCTCTCGGAGCGGGCGTGACAGCGCGTCTCAGCTGGAGCAGAGGCGGCAAATTGGTCACAGCAGGTTACAGCTGCAGCGAGCGCCTGTGCGTATCCCCAGCGAGGCAGAGGTGCCCGGCAAGCTGTCATCTTTGCGTGGCCTTACAACCTACTCCTAGAACTGCACGGCTGCCAGGAGCAATCTCTGCATCTCCTTGGCAAGGCTGATTTTTCCAGGCGGAGGATGCAAGGACGTGAGGAGCCAGCCCAGCCAGCCAGCCCGTCCTGCTTCTCCGCTCCCGGAATCATGGAGCAACTCCCAGCAGAGAGTAAAACCCAAACCCCACACGTGCTTTCCGGGGTGTTGTTGCTCTCCTACTTGCTTTCCTGCTGGAATTACCTCTGGGGATTGCCTAGGAGGGCACAACCACCTCCCTGATGGCTACCAAGACATCTGACCACCTTCATGGCCACCAGCGCATCAAAGAGATTCCTTCCAGGGAGCTGAGTTCATCCATCCTTCCTTACCCAAACAGCACTTCACCTGACTTCATTATGTTTTAGAGCCCTAAATATCCCAGGATGTGGCCGTAAATACTGGAAGGTCTCAGAGCCCTCTGAGCTGCATTGCTAAGCACTGTCACCTCCTCCCCTTGCACTGCTCAGCTTAACCCCTGCCCCCTAACATTTGCAGATATATGCACGAAGTTTAATCTCACAAGGAGCTGGGAGACTCTTTCTCCCTGCAGAGGAAATTGGATTTTATGATTTTCCACTTTCCATGCCGGGACGGACCAGCTATAGCTGTTCCAGAGCTAGGGAGCTGAAAAGAGACATGCAACGGGACGCTGGTGCCGTGGGGACCATAGGATGGGGCTGGGGGTAACGGGATGAGCACGTCTGATGCTAAAGGCCCCCAGACTGGTCTGCTGAGGTGCTGAATGGAGGTTCTCAAGGACTTCAGTGCAAATGTAGAGAGCTGAGCACCTCCCAGGGTCGGGGCGGAAGAGCAGATGCCCTCTTTAACTTGTGTGCAAGAGGGGAACGTGCCTCCGTTGGGATGGGGAGCAGCGAGCAAGCCAAGGCTCCTGCAGTCCTGGCCACAAGCTGACTGCACTGCCCGAGCCCTACAGAGAAGAGGCAAAGCCACCAAGACGGAGGAGAACTGCTGGGGAGGAAAACGTGCAGGTCACTCTTATGGATGACTCCAAGATGCCACAAATCTCCATCCCACTTCTGTGTGGGCCTTTTGCACTGGGCGAAAAAAGACAAAGAGCAGCCAAGAATGTCTTGGACACGGAAAGAAAATCCTCCTGAGCTCGGTAATTTGTGACTTACTATGGCAATACCACCGAAGCAGCAGCCATTTCTGCGTTGTAGTTCTTTCCATACTATCAATATTTTCAAAAAGCTTCCCGAAGCATTAATTGCACGAGATTGATGGAGTGATTGCAGTGGGGAAAATGCAGCATCCATTACGTGGTCAGGGCAGCATCGCGCGGGCAGGGCTAGGGCTGCCTGGAAAGTCGTGGGCAAGAGCAGATGCAGGACAGGAGAGCACTGGAGAGGCAAGCCAAGAAATCTCAGTCACCACTACCACCCTGATGAAAAGAGGACCTGATCCTGCCCTGGGAATGGGAATTTTGGAGTAAAATCAGAGCCCGAGGGAATAAGCAGGTGGTGCTCTTGCTTGTCGTGGTTTTACCGCAGGGAAAATTTCCTGACTCCTGGTGTCATCGCTCTAGCAGGATTTGGCCAAGATAAAGGTGATGCCAAGAAGGGTGGGGATGCAGCCACGCGTGTGCAGAGCAGAGACAAGGGGAGGGCGTAACTTAAGCTAAGAGAAAATAACTGAAGCCATGCTGAAAGATGGATCGGCAAGAAAATTCCTCCTTTGGAAACTGCAGATGGAGCGTGAGCAAGGGAACGGGTTCGTGGGGAAGACAGGGAAAGCTGGGACGGAAACATGGAAGGAGGAAAAGAGGCAATGCGGTGGTTGGCCACTTTCAGTTCTGTCCTTAAGCCCGGGGTTTGGGGTTTTTTTGGCTCGCTCCCCTCGGAACAAGGCTGAGTTGTTTCCAAACGGCTTTTAAAACTCCTGCAGGAATTTCCATTGCTTTGAAGACCATGTGGAGCCCCATCCTTGGCGGGAGCCAGCTGGGCTGAAAGCAGAAAGCGGGAAGTCACTGGCCTCCGAAGCATCATTTCTGATGCTCCAGCAGAAGATAAAATGTTTTGAGAAATGACAAGTACCAAAAAGTAATCTAATCTGTTGCAGTTAT